TTTTTCTGGGGCGGGGGCCGCGACCGTACTGATGTACAGATCAGTCGGGGGTCTAGCTGCGGGATACTGCGGGGAGGCGCGTAGTACTACTAAGCGGGTCATCCGCCAGGATCCCACGGGATGACGGAGTAGACTTGGCCAAGCCAAGGGCCGGTGGATACACCCCCCCCGCCATCCTCGACTTACAGTAGGGAGCTTGGAGTAGCGGCGAAAGGGCAGACGACATCGACTATAGCAGGCCTTCCCGGACTTTTTTACAGGATGGCCGGAACTGGGCTACAGGATGGCCGGAACTGGGGAGTAGTTGGCACATGTCCTAAGGGCTAGGCATTATCAGTCGGGGCGCGGGGTACTGTAATTCGGACCTAGCGGGCCGGCTAGGGGCCGGAGGAGGCGAAGACGAGCACCGGGTGAACCCGGACGTGGGCCGTTCCAGGTTCTTGGGAAACAGAGAGGAAGAGCTCTATGGCAGAAGATGGCAGATCAGGGCCAGAGCGGGGAGGCAGGTCAATAAGTTGTGGAAGCATAAGTCAAGAAGCAGCCAGCAGTCGTTCGGTCGCACTTGCGTAAGCCATGCGGGAGCACTGAGACAATGGCCTCGGCGACGACGGGATGTAGAACCGGAGGTAGTGGTAGACAATGGGGATTGCCGTCGGGAAGGAAGCCCGCCGTAGCTGCGCTACGGAGAGGCGCTTGTGTCGGCACGAGAGAGAGAGAGAGAGAGAGAGAGAGAGAGAGAGAGAGAGAGAGAGAGAGAGAGAGAGAGGGGTGAGACGACAAAGAGGTTGAAACCCTGGCGCAAATTCAAGCCAGGTACGTGCAAAAGTTGGGGTAGCTGAGCGACGGGGGGACTAGCGGCAACAAGCGGAGCGAGGCAGCGGAGTGAATTCGGACTGAACCCGGATACAAAGCAGCGCCGGGTGCATTGACGGAAGAGGTGGCCGGGTGCAGTCAAGGAAGTATAGTGATCGTGACCCCAAGCTGGTTTCATCGGGATGAGAGGTGAATCAGGGGTTGTGTCCCCGGGCGAGCCCAAATCTGTGGTTGGAGAAGCACAACAGAGAGTCAGTGGGTGGCCAGAGGAGAAGGATCTGCGCAAAGAGATGGCGAGAAGGTGAGTGAGGCGCAACGGGGAAGGAGAAGCTCACGCGAGTTTCAACTAAGTTGGGCGAAGAAAAGTGCGAGGCTGAGGTCCTGAGATGGGGCGAATTCAGTGGCAATGCCAGATTTGCAGTCTGAACGCTAATTTTTGAGGTACGAAGATTGGAAGTTGCGCTCGAATAAGAGAGCGGCAATATGCAGATGCACCTAGCCTCGGGTTAGGGGAAGATTCGTTCGTTGTTGTCCATCAAAGTGATTGAAGTAGTGTGCAGTTAGCCACGGGCCAGAAACGTGTCTATAGGATGGTTAGTTGGTCTGAGGCGGTAGTGAGGGAGGCCAATAAAAAGAAGGGAGATAGCTAGTTAGGGCGCTCAGACAGGTGCGAGTGTACCCGGACGGAAGTTTGGGCCGGGTGGGGGTGGAGCATCGGTGGTGGGAGCAGCTATGGCGGGGAAGCAAAAGCCATAGCCCGCTCGTTCCTAAACAGAATCGGGTGTAGGGAAAGGCGAACTTGGGGTTCTCACCCCCGGCGATTCCAAATTTGACGTTAGTTTTAATAGTAAGTTAGCAAAGTAAGAGTTAGTTGAGGTATAAACAGCGTGAAGGTGTTGAGAAGAACGAGGTGAAGAGTGAAAATCTCACCCGATCGATGATGAAACCGGGTCGAGCAAAAGACAAGATCAGGGATTCTTAGGGCGGGTGACATCGGATTCAAGRCCAGAAGGAGGTAAAAGTTAGTAGAGAAAAAGTTAGTGAAGAAAAATGCATTCGGGGCTATGGCCGTGACATGAGGAAGGATGGGCTCCCTCGTGCGCAGTGTTGACCACAACAACTGCGGGTGGTGGCTACGAGTCGTACCGGTTGAGGTTTCAGGCGATGGTAACGAAGGCATGGCYAGTGTGCTACGAGTTACGTTCCATAGCGCTGCAGGGCTGTGTTGGTGCTTTTTCGACGAAATGCTTGTTGAGCAGCATTCAATACCACTATCTGTCTGCATGCTGGGACTKCTGCGTCTCATTGCTCTRCGAATGACATTTGTAGTTCGCYAGAGGGCCACAGAGTATGGTCATTGCATGCTACTGCCGATATACCAACATACTCTTTGAGCATAAAGGACATTGCGATTGTGACCATCTGCCCCACTATCGAGGATCTAATTACTCTCGCATGCCAAGTACGAACATTGTCGGGTTGGGTTCGCTACAGATCACTAGGCGGGCAGACGATGCGCTCAGGCTATGACACGAGGAAGTCGGTGTTTCTCCACTCAGAGTACCATCTGCAGTAACTGCACGTGATGGGCACCTGCTGTACAAGTTGGTTTCAAATTGTGCTCATGAGTTGTGGCCAACATACTTCGAGTTACAGTTCATACCGCTACTGAGTTGTGCTACTGCCCTTGTGCGGTGCCTGACCGATGCGCGCGACAGTGCAACTGCCGGATGACCCGTGCCAGTTCTCGAATATCGTTCCTCCCATCGTCGACGTTAATGTGACGTCATGCGGCACTGTCCATCTAGAAACCAGGCCATGAACCCAAAAGATCAGTCTAGGAGTTTGGTGGCATCTATTAAGTTTTTTTCCTTACATTTGTAGAAGTTCATAGATTACTGACCTTTTTTTCTTACACGACCACTAAAGCATAACCTTTTACTTATTTCATTCTCGAGTGTCTTTCCACCAGGGACAACAGTAGCTTGTTGTTATCCCCGGCAACGGGACCACCTGTCGAGCGCATAGGCCCCCGCGCGAGAGAGGGTCCTCCCGGCCGCGTCACGCAGGAGAAACTTAGGTTTTCAACCTCTTAGAGACAACTCGGGGATGACACGTTAACCCGCGTCGACCCTTCGCTGCTCCGGCCGAGTGCGCCAGCTGTGCATCCCGCGGTCCCCTACGACAGGATAGGTTCTCGCGATGCACAACTTACCTTCCCTGAGGGGCTGTCACCACCCTTAGGGGCGTATCCCCGCCGAGCTACTGACCCACATGCGAAGACTTTTATAATGCAATTGCAGAGGTGGGCCGACCGAGGGCGTTTGCTCCTTCGTTGTAGCAAAGGTACACATGGTTAACGCCAAAGTGGACCTGAACATCGTCCGTCCCTGGGGCGCTGATCTCCCAGGAATCGGAAAGTACGCTGGTCGACTAGGACGTGATATTCCAAGCATAAGGAAATACTCTAGCGATCCTAGTCCCTTCTTTCAAAGACGATACTGAGCTACTCAGACAAGCCCTTTGAAAAGAAGACTCATGTCAACGGTAGTTGATTATTAACCTATGTGTAATACAATAATGCACACAATAAAGGTTGACTTGGCTTCAAACAACACTTATCGATAAAAGAACAAAGCATGACCTATACACAATATAACGCTTAAATGACATCTGATTAAAGTATCACCACTTTACCTGCCAGACGGCTGGACTGTCATGACTTTTTCGATTTGATGAGATGCGTTGCCAAGTTATTTAATTCCGCCCCATACTGACTGCTAGAAAAAAAACACAGACAAATCTCAATACTCAAGTAGAGCAAGGATGTCATGGCTTTAATGATGATTTCTTTACTTTTCTAACTTCGGTGTGAATGCCATCCGCAAGTAATCTGGCCACCACTATGCAAGTCAACAATTATCTTGAATAATCAAACACTCGATGCCCCATTAAGATCGAGGATCCACTTTCAAATTTTGTTGGTTGCTTTATCCTTTTGGACAATAATTACTCTTTCAGTTCCATAAATAATGAAGTATCCGCCTTCGACACAAATGCATTCAAAGCAATGCTCTGGCCACATCTTACTRTCRACTAGCCTGATTGCCCYAGACTTGYATTTCTTATGATGCAAACCTATCTGCGAAGGTAGTACCTACCCACACTCCATCCGTAGCTAGTGAAACACAAACTGGGCTTCTTGTGGCGCCAGTTCCTCATTCGTATGGGGCTCCTAAGACGGCCACGAGAAGGGTAAACTACGACAGTCGTCCTTAACGCCAACCGCCAAGAACTTGAGGTCC